TGAAGGCTGCGACAGTGATTTGTCAGCAGATTTTCTCCATTTTGGCGCTGGTGATTTTCCTTCTAAAACTCCTTTTAAAAAGTGCTTCAAAATCGTCTTTTTTTCGCTCTGGCGTCGAGATCCGGTTTTGGAGCTACAATTTCCGACCGCCGTTGCGCGAGTTCTATTTGTTTTTGCAACTCAGTCTTCTGCAGATCGCAATTGTAATGGCTGCGTCAAGGTTGCTGTCTTGCCACGGCTGCAATGGTAAACTATTGTCTTTTGCAGCTGGACTTCGTAAATCGTATTGGAGTGGCTGCATGAAGGCTGCGACATTGATTTGTCAGCAGATTTTCTCCATTTTGGCGCCAGTGAGTTTCTTTTTAAAAATTCTTTTAAAAAGTGCTTCAAAATCGTCTTTTTTTTCGCTCTGGCGTCGAGATCCGGTTTTGGAGCTACAATTTCCGACGCCGTTGTGCGTAGTTCTATTGTGTTTTGCAACTCAGTCTCTGCAGATGGCTGCGTCAAGGTTGCTTGGTGCCGCGGCTGCATGCGCAATATTATTGTCTTTTGCAACTGGACTTCGTAAATCGTATTGGAGTAGGTGCATCAAGGGTTCGACAGTGATTAGTAGTAGTGCTGGGAATTGATTAATGAAAGCTTAATAGATGACATATGAGAAGGGACGAAATGAGAAGAGATGAGCTGGGATAAGGTGAGAAGAGCTCAGATTGAGATAACTGTGGAGTGGTGAATGGTGTAGTGTGAATGTGGGGGCTGAAGTGTTAAGTGTGGAGTGTGAGAGTAGTGAAGTGTGAAGTTTGGAGTGTGAGGAAGCAGTGAGAATTGAGAAGTGGAAGTGTGGACTTGAGTGTGAGTGTGAAAGTTTTGGAGTGCAGAGTGCAGTGTGAAGTGGTGGAGTGTGAAGATTGCAGTGTGAGTGTCCCTGTGAAGGAACAGTGGGAAGTGAACGTGTGAAGTGTGGAGTGTGAAATTTTCAGTTTGGAGTGCGAAGAGTGAAGTGTGAGTGTGAAGTGTGAAGGGTTGGAGTGGTGAAGGCAGCAGTGAGAAAGTGATAGTGTGGAGTGTGAAGTGAGAAGTGAGAAGTGTGAAGTGTGAAGTGTGAGTGAAGTGTGGAGTGTGAAGTGCGAAGTGAGAAGTGTGACGTTTGGAGTGTGAAGTTTGGAGTGGGAAGGAAGCAGTGAGAAGTGAGAAGTGTGAAGTGTGGACTGTGAAGTGTGGAGTGTGAAGTGCGAAGTGAGAAGTGTGAAGTTTGGAGTGTGAAGGAAGCAGTGAGAAGTGAGAAGTGTGAAGTGAGAAGTGTGAAGTGTGGACTGTGCAGTGTGGAGTGCGAAGAGCGGAGTGTGAAGTGTGAAGTGTGAAGTGTGAGGTTTGGAGTGTGAAGGAAGCAGTGAGAAGTGTGAAGTGTGGACTGTGAAGTGTGAAGTGTTAGTGAAGAATTGTTGGAGTTTAAGTGCGAAGTGAGAAGTGTGGGAGTTTGGCGTGTGCAGGAGCAGTGAGAAGTGGAGAAGTTTTGATGGAGAAGTGTTAATTGTGGAGCTGTGAGTGTGTATTGGAAGTGAGAAGTGAGAAGTGTGAAGTGTGGAGTGTGAGTGTGAAGTTTGGAGTGCGAAGAGCGCAGTGTGAAGTGTGAAGTGTGAGGTTTGGAGTGTGAAGGAAGCAGTGAGAAGTGAGAAGTGTGAAGTGTGGAGTGTGAAGTGTGAAGTGTGAAGTGCGAAGTGAGAAGTGAGAAGTGTGACTGTGAAGTGTGAAGTGTGAAGTGTGGACTGTGAAGTGTGAAGTGTGAAGTGTGGACTGTGAAGTGTGAAGTGTGCAGTGTGAAGTGTGAAGTGTGAGGTTTGGAGTGTGAAGGAAGCAGTGAGAAGTGAGAAGTGTGGAGTGTGAAGTGTGGAGTGTGAAGTTTGAAGTTTGGAGTGCGAAGAGTGCAGTGTGCAGTGTGAGGTGTGGAGCGTCGAGGGAAGGACACGGTCGGGACAGGGTGTCTTTGAACTATAGGTCATTTATGTTTGGGAAACTTCCGCTGCCGGCTTGCCCGGGTCTATGTTATTCATATTATAGGGGTATTGTTGTGGTGCCTTTTGGCGGCTTTCCTGCTTCTACTTTGGTTGGTGTGCTTCTCCCTTCTACCACTTACAATCAACTGTAACTGGACTACAATGGATAACCAACCATCTCTTTCATGAGACTATTTCATGGGGATGTCTTGTGGGAGTTGCAATAGATCTTTGTTTCATCACCAAAATTGCAGGTCAGAAACCTTCACTATGGCAATTCAGAGGCTTTCTTGTTCAGTCCTTTGCTGGTCTAACCCTGTGGTGTGTTCTTTCCAGTGGCTGTCCATGGAGGATTTGACGTGGACAGCGCCATGTTCCAACATTCTTGAGACTCACAGTCCTAAACATTAGCACCCAAACATAGAGGTGCTGGCAACATTCCAAAATGTAGTGTAGACAGCAAGTAGCTTTGAAGCTTCAATATCCCCCAGCAATCCTTCACAAGTCATGTGATATATGTTGATGATGCAGCTGCTCAATCCAAAGCACTGAGGTGAGGCTTGGGGACGTGATGAGTGCTACTTGGAAGAGTACCATGATGGTCTACGGCTTGGACGGCAATGACGGATCCAACGGACCCCTTCGATGATTCGGTAGCCGCGGCCAACGAATCCACGGCGGAGCGCTCGACGTGATGAATGAGGTCATCCACTGGAACATGTCGTGCTTGAGGGCAACCAAAAGACCGGAAGGCCGCGAAGGATGCTGGAATTCTGCAGAGATTGAGTGCATAAGACTCAGCCTGAAATGCGGTCTCAAAGCAAGCTGCGATTGCTTCAAACTCTCGTGCAATTCGCCCGCCTTCATTGGATATAGTCTATATAGCGTTCATGCCAGGCCTCGAGAAAAGGTCCGCTTCTCCTTTGGCTTCGCAATGATTTTGGCTGTGTCGCTGATCTGACTGCCTGACCACATCAGGATCTCCAAGAGGAGCTTCAACTGGAGAGGCGCCATGAGAGAAGCCACGGATGTCCATGGATGCGCATGGTTCGCCATTCCAGCCGTGTGGATCTCCAGATGGGAGATATGCCAATTTTCTATCCAAAACTGCAATTTCCGTGCTTAAACCATAGGAATCATTAGAAAATAGTTTATAGACTTATATTTCCATCATTAATCAATAGATTCAATAGATCGTTAAACCTACCCAAGTTGTGTATTGGGCGGTCGGCAGAAAGGCGCAAAGCTGAAATGGAGCAGTCCGAATTGCAGGAGAGCCATCCATTTGGCTTCAGATGGAATGGATGGGATTTGTTGGGTCAGGTCCAGGTGTCACCTGGTGACTTGACTGGGGAATATCGTTTCCAATAATCAACAATCAGAAAAACGCATTTCCCTCAAAAAGAGACAATTTACCAAGCTCGTTTTCTTTTTTCTATGTATGTACGTACATAATCGTACATATGTATATATATATAATATAGATATATAATTATATACAAATATATATATATATAATATAATATATATATATATGTCCAATGTGTGTATATATATATATATGTACTAATACTATATTGTATTATATATACACATAATTACACAATAATAATAATTAACAAAAAAATAACAAATAATAATAATAATTAATAATAATAATATGAATCAGTATTTATTAAGATAATATATATGTATGTGTATATATATATATATATCTAACATACACACAATAATAAACATAATAATAGAAAGGACTAACGCCCTGGTGCCGCCGACCCCCCCTTAAGGGGGAGGTTCGGCGGGGGCAAGGAAGAGCTAACAAGGCCAATTTGCAAGAATGTAGCAATGCACTGTGAGCATGTTTTGATCGGCTGCGATTGTGCCCAATTTCTTTTAGGCAGTGAAGCTTTGCGAAAGTGGTTTGATACCTTTGCTAGCAATTTTTGAGTTTGATCTGATACAAATCAATTTGGAAGGAGCTAGCAGCCCTTCGAGAAGAACTGGAGTGCAAGCAGGCAGTTGACATCATTCAAGATTCAGAGAGATTGGCCTTAGAGATTGAGTACAGTTCGTGGGAAGGGGCTGAGTTTTTTGTCGGCTGCAGACGTAATGCTGTTTTCCCTTTGCTCATGCAGGCAGAGGAAAGAAGTGCTGTCAGCCGAGACCGTAGCGAAGCAGAAGAGCAGCTTCTGGCAGAGGAGCTATTTGCAACGAAGGCGACGACATGTTGAAGATTCAAGACAACTCTTTGTGTGTTTCAAGTCATGTTTGGGCCAGAAGTGCGGGTTTTGAATGTTTTTGCATTTTCGCTAAACTGTTTTTCAGATCAGGTAGCGGATGAGCTTGCAAGTTCCAGGGCGGAAGTTGAGCAGCTCTCCGCATGCCTGTCTTGCTTACAGCAAAGAACCTTGCAAAGCCGATTCGTGGTGTGTCGAATTGGATGGCAGTCAAGAAGCGAGACGCAGTCTATTTTGCCAAACAAAGCTTCTGTAACCGGTTGCCAGGAACGGATCTCTGAAATGCAGATAGCCCATGCTGCTTCTGAGGTGTGGATTTCTGTCAAGCATTTTCCTGATGAGTTCTTGCCTCTCTCATACAAGTACTGACTGAGTTCTGGGCCCCTGTTGCACAGGAGTTGCAAGCAAAGCTACAGTCTGAGAGGCATGGATTGTGTACACAGTGGAAAAGAGCTGAGAGGCAGTGGATTCGGCGGAATCTTATAGGCCTGTCGTGCAGAGCACCACTGGAGATCACGAGGTGCTTTGGGTACATTTGGATACATTTGGATACATTTGGACACATTTGGTGCATCTACATTTGACGCTGCATTTGATGCATATGTACTAGCAAGAGTTACTAGGAGTTGCTTGGCCGTGCGTGCAAGAGTCAGTCTAACATACGATTGGCAGGCTTTGCAGCAAGAGCTGGAACTAGCCAGAACGCCTCGCTGGCACCCTTCGTTCTGTGATTTTGATACGTTGACGGCGTTTGACGACGCACTTTGCAATGCCCTTCGTGCCAGGCAAGCCGCTGAAGCTGAGGATGCTGCAGAAGTGTCTGAGCCTTGGCATGTCTCCCTCGTTCCTCTTCAAGTGCTTTTCACGACACTCAGGCTACAACAGGTCAAAGACTCCCTGACACTGCAACTGACGCAGCAGCAGAGCCGTGCACTTGGAAGTCATTCAGAGAATGGAAATGAAATGCCTAATGGATCATTCTTGTGTATTATTGAATCCATCAAAAGGACACAGTACTTGGAAAGATTTTGGATGCTTTTGCATTATTTTGCATTTTTCTCATCTTTTGAGGCAAAGAAAAGGAGCTTGAAGCCGAGCTGGTCACGTTACGAGGCTTGTGGCCGGTGATTCAAGGTGGTTGCTGGACCCTGCAAATGCATTGAACTTGCAGGTTCCGAGGCTGCTTTGCAAGCGCAACTCCAAACTGCAGAGTCGCGGCATGAAGGCGCAAGTGCAGCAAGCAATGGAGCGAGAAAACAAAGGTGAGCGTTTTAGCGCTTGAATCTCTTTCAATCTCTTTCAATGCGTTTCATTTTGTGGCTTCTCGGTTCTTCCTTCGCAACTGCCTGGGCATGACTGGGGTTGTGCCAGGCCGAGAGTCAGCAGACGCAGATGCTCAGACCACCCCGGAAGGCGAGGCAGAGCAGCTTGCGATCGCTGCTGCGTTGAAGGCTGGGGTCACGAAAAACTGTTGTAGAACTAGAAATGCGTCAAACATCTTCAAACCATTTCAAGACGAAAGTGTTCTTCCTTTTGTTCATTTGACATTTGCTTTGCATCATTCTTGTCCACTTGCTATTTGTTCTGAACGCTTTGAAGGGCTTTGAAGCTGAGTCCATAGCACAGCGAGAGGCCGGGGCGGGTCATCAACATCCATAAACCACAGCTGCTATGCATTGCAATGGAAGGTGGTTTGATATACCTTTGCTAGCAATTGAGTTTGATCTGATAGAAATCAGTTTGGAAGGAGCTAGCAGCCCTTCGAGAAGAACTGGAGTGCAAGCAGGCAGTTGACATCATTCAAGATTCAGAGAGATTGGTCTTAGAGATTGAGTACAGTTCGTGGGAAGGGGCTGAGTTTTTTGTCGGCTGCAGACGTAATGCTGTTTTCCCTTTGCTCATGCAGGTAGAGGAAAGAAGTGCTGTCAGCCGAGACCGTAGCGAAGCAGAAGAGCAGCTTCTGGCAGAGGAGCTATTTGCAACGAAGGCGACGGCATGTTGAAGATTCAAGACAACTCTTTGTGTTTTCAAGTCATGTTTGGGCCAGAAGTGCGGGTTTTGCATGTTTTTGCATTTTCGCTAAAATGTTTTTCAGATCAGGTAGCGGATGAGCTTGCAAGTTCCAGGGCGGAAGTTGAGCAGCTCTCCGCATGCCTGTCTTGCTTACAGCATAAAAAGAACCTTGCAAAGCCGATTCGTGGTGTGTCGAATTGGATGGCAGTCAAGAAGCGAGACGCAGTCTATTTTGCCAAACAAAGCTTCTGTAACCGGTTGCCAGGAACGGATCTCTGAAATGCAGATAGCCCATGCTGCTTCTGAGGTGTGGATTTCTGTCAAGCATTTTCCTGATGAGTTCTTGCCTCTCTCATACAAGTACTGACTGAGTTCTGGGCCCCTGTTGCACAGGAGTTGCAAGCAAAGCTACAGTCTGAGAGGCATGGATTGTGTACACAGTGGAAAAGAGCTGAGAGGCAGTGGATTCGGCGGAATCTTACAGGCCTGTCGTGCAGAGCACCACTGGAGATCACGAGGTGCTTTGGGTACATTTGGATACATTTGGATACATTTGGACACATTTGGTGCATCTACATTTGACGCTGCATTTGATGCATATGTACTAGCAAGAGTTACTAGGAGTTGCTTGGCCGTGCGTGCAAGAGTCAGTCTAACATACGATTGGCAGGCTTTGCAGCAAGAGCTGGAACTAGCCAGAACGCCTCGCTGGCACCCTTCGTTCTGTGATTTTGATACGTTGACGGCGTTTGACGACGTACCTTGCAATGCCCTTCGTGCCAGGCAAGCTGCTGAAGCTGAGGATGCTGCAGAAGTGTCTGAGCCTTGGCATGTCTCCCTCGTTCTCAGGTGTTTCCTTTCGTTCCCAATTTTCCTCACCCTCTTCAAGTGCTTTTCACGACACTCAGGCTACAACAGGTCAAAGACTCCCTGACACTGCAACTGACGCAGCAGCAGAGCCGTGCACTTGGAAGTGATTCAGAGAATGGAAATGAAATGCCTAATGGATCATTCTTGTGTATTATTGAATCTATCAAAAGGACACACTACTTGGAAAGATTTTGGATGCTTTTGCATTATTTTGCATTTTTCTCATCTTTTGAGGCAAAGAAAAGGAGCTTGAAGCCGAGCTGGTCACGTTACGAGGCTTGTGGCCGGTGATTCAAGGTGGTTGCTGGACCCTGCAAATGCATTGAACTTGCAGGTTCCGAGGCTGCTTTGCAAGCGCAACTCCAAACTGCAGAGTCGCGGCATGAAGGCGCAAGTGCAGCAAGCAATGGAGCGAGAAAACAAAGGTGAGCGTTTTAGCGCTTGAATCTCTTTCAATCTCTTTCAATGCGTTTCATTTTGTGGCTTCTCGGTTCTTCCTTCGCAACTGCCTGGGCATGACTGGGGTTGTGCCAGGCCGAGAGTCAGCAGACGCAGATGCTCAGACCACCCCGGAAGGCGAGGCAGAGCAGCTTGCGATCGCTGCTGCGTTGAAGGCTGGGGTCACGAAAAACTGTTGTAGAACTAGAAATGCGTCAAACATCTTCAAACCATTTCAAGACGAAAGTGTTCTTCCTTTTGTTCATTTGACATTTGCTTTGCATCATTCTTGTCCACTTGCTATTTGTTCTGAACGCTTTGAAGGGCTTTGAAGCTGAGTCCATAGCACAGCGAGAGGCCGGGGCGGGTCATCAACATCCATAAACCACAGCTGCTATGCATTGCAATGGAAGGTGGTTTGATATACCTTTGCTAGCAATTGAGTTTGATCTGATAGAAATCAGTTTGGAAGGAGCTAGCAGCCCTTCGAGAAGAACTGGAGTGCAAGCAGGCAGTTGACATCATTCAAGATTCAGAGAGATTGGTCTTAGAGATTGAGTACAGTTCATGGGAAGAGTCTGTTGTAGCCATTATTAATTTTGGGAACAAGTGGGCTGAGTTTTTTGTTGGCTGCAGACGTAATGCTGTTTTCACTTTGCTCATGCAGGTAGAGGAAAGAAGTGCTGTGAGCCGAGACCGTAGCGAAGCAGAAGAGCAGCTTCTGGCAGAGGAGCTATTTGCAACGAAGGTGACGTCTTGGTGGATGACTTCGCCACACTAAGAAATCCGGAAAATCCACATCTCAATCATTTCAGAAATGATCTTCCTTTCAAACAATTCATTTCATTTATCACAAGTTGTATTTATCCACATTTCATTTATTAATCCACATTTCATGATGACTGGATTTCGAATAATTCATTTATTTATCATCAGTTTTCAGGTGATTTCTGGATTTCACATTGCAAGGTTTGATGACCGAAAGGTAACCTGGGAATCCGCAACCCGCAACCCGCCAGCATCACTACAGTACGTTGTCACAGGTGGTAGAGGAGCTAGCGACTGCCAGAGAAGAAGCCGCGCAACTCTCGGCGCGCCGCCGCCATCGACGTGGGCTGGGTGGATCATTTGGAAAACATAGGAAAATTGGGCAAATATCATAAACTGTGGGCTGAATTGGAAAAAATGGAAACATTTACAAGAAACATCAAGAAGAAACACTTTTTTTGGTGGAAAGAAATCCAGATGACCAAACCAGAGGTTGAACATCCTTCCCCCACCAAGGAACAAGGTTGAAGAACAGCTTGAGCATTATTTTTTTTCAAATTGTGGGCGATATGTTCAACAATTTTCTGTCTGGCCCTTGTATTTTTCACCATCCCCGAACCATTGGTTTGCTATTGAACGAGACCAATGTCGATGATTTCAGGGAATCCCCCCAAAACAACTCAACTCCCACCAAATCCCGATATTGTTGATTAATTCCGATTATTGATTAATTCCCCATTACAGCTAGTTTCTTTAATCCTCCTGTCATACCCAGAGACTATGGGTATCCTGTTGTTGATATCCCATTCATATTCATTATTGTTGTATCGCTCATCTGTGTTTAGTCTAATCAGTTTACTCCCAATATTTTGGTGGAAAGCCACATCGACATGGCGCGGCTTCCCATGAAATTCCCATGGCATTTCCACCTTTCGCATCTGCTGCGCCAGGCACAGGTAGGGGATTTGGACTTTGCCCTCCAAGTGGCCAGCGAAGCGGCCGCGGAGGATTCCTCGGCCATTTCCGAGGTGCCCCAGTTATGGTTATTTTCATAGGGAATAACCATGACAAAAATATGATATAATCCATTAAACATTGGGGTACTCTATTTTCAGATACTCAATTTTCAGACAACCTCCATATCTTGTGCCTTTGTGCATCTGCCAACTTTGAGGCAGATGAAGGACACGTTTGAAAGTACGGAATGCGAAAAGAATCGTTAAATGTTCAACAATTCCACATGACAGCATTGTGCGGATCAGAAGAACCACCCAAAAAATCGGCAAGGAACATATGCCCAACAAACCCGAATCCTCTTGACCAATAGCTGCAATAGCTCCACCACAGGCTCGCCAACTTCGAAGCGAGTGTCGATCGCTGGAGGTGGAGGGTTGAGTTCACAGCCACCCTGCTGCGGCCGGGTCATAACATGATATAAGTTATAGAGTGGGCTAGCGCCCGGGTACCGCCGACCCCGCCCTTCTATGGAGGGTTGGCCAACTTGGCTCTGCATGGCATCAAAAGTCTGGCCAAAACTCGGATGTATGAGGCCCTTGGAAGGTTCGAGGGGTTCGAAGGGCGGCATTCGGCGCTTTCGGAAGTCGTAAACATGCTGCTGTTGGCTATCTTTCCCGGGAAAGCTTGGCCAGAAGCTTAGCCAGCTCGCCCGAAACGTGCTGCATGGAGCTACAGGAGACATGCATGAGGCCCCGCGGAGCGTTTGAAGGTTAAAGGCAAGCTGCTGCGTGGACGCTTTGGATTGCCATGGCATCAAATATCTAGAAAACTACAAAGGTTCCACATCAAAGGTAGCCGCAGGCGCCGCTCTGCCTTGGCTAAGGTAAGGTCGGCGGATAATTATGGTGACTAATGTTAGCAAACAATAGCACACCATCCCAATTTTACCACGAATAGGCGCTATAAACATCTATAAGCCATCAAAATGTGGGGTGGTTTATTATGTTTATTTTTGCTTTGCTACCAACATTGTAGAATATAGATAATGTATGATAATGTATGATAATGTTGCTTGCTGGTACGAAGAATACGATGAAGCTGGTTAGGTCCTGCACTTCCGGTGACCAGCAGGAGGAACTCAGAGAGGCTTCGAAGTCGCCTGGGTCTCCTGGAGGCACGGGCAGCAAAACTCACAGCTTCCCATTTCGGTCCCTGAAAATTTCGGGGACGACTTCCAAGTTTCATACATTTTCATGATTTTTCATGAATCAGTGGATTAGAAATGATTAGAACATCATGTTCCCATCATTTTTTCATCATTTTCCCCATTCATAGGAGAGCCATCCTTGGCGACTCCGGAGAGGCAACGCCACGGGGCGAAAGCATCGGCCCACGGCGGATTTTGGCGATGCAACGGAGCTCAGGAAGTTGCAGGCCGTGCCATGGGATGAGGAAAAAATGGGGGAACTCTCCAAGTGTCAAATGTCACATGTCAAAGATGGGAAAATCACCGATTTAGATAGGTAAATCCCTGCTTGAAAATAAACATCTCAATAAAAGTGAGGAAATCTCAGTTTCACCTTATTTGGCGGGTATAAAGTGCTTGGAACATGCTAAGTACATCTGACTGTCATGGTAGAACCGGGTGATAGTGTTAAGGTATGGCTGTTTCAATATTGGTTTGAATGCAAAGATAGGAAACCATGTGATTTTGCGGCCCCATTCACAGACCAACCTAAATTAGAAAGATGGAGAACCAAAGAGGGGAAGAATAAAGGTGGGTTGGGAATAGAATTCGTGAAATATATGAGTATAAATCAGTATAAATACATGGATGGATAATGATGAATAGACGGAGAAATAATAGGCCAGGAAATCACTGCATGGGAAAGTCCTGTGGTGTGATGGAAACTGGCAGACCTGACAAGGTTTGGGTAAAAACACCTGTTCTGGCCTTTGCTGAGGCAAATGTTTGATTGTTTTTTTCGAACAAATGATTGGATGACACCATCCGAACATTAGAAGATTCCTGGTGATATGCCGTAAGAGTGGAACTCCAACTTCGGCACGGAAACATTTCCCCCGTGGTTCACCGGTGGGTGAAGGCCCCACCCAAAAATAAACACTCATATCAGACTCATAATCATTGAAACCAGGTACCCCATGGTACCCCTCAAACCGAATCGTTTCTCATTTTCTCACCGCAAATTTAGAAATTTAGGGTATCTGCAGTATCCATCAGTATCCCCTATTTGAGGACAAAACCACATTTTGTTGTCTTTCTGTTCAGATTTCTGCGTGAGGATGGAACTGGCTCTGCTGAAATGCTTTCAATCGCAGAGGAACCTGACGATGAGGCAGCGGACATCGCTGAGAGTCGACTCGGGTCATCCGGTCATCCCTCAAACCGTTTTCACGACATTTCTGGCATGGCCCCCCATGGACCTTTGAGGTATTAACATCACCATCTTAGTAGTCTATTAACCACCACCATCTATTGATAGAGGATTTTCACCATTAACATTAACATCTATTAATAGATTTAATAGTCTACTAACCTTCACAATCCACTGGCATTGGCAACGTGGATACTCAGCCAACTACCAGCCAGCATTCACCAACCGAACGGTGCTAGGCCTTTAAGAGTCCGGTGGAACACGTGTCAAGTCCGTTCCAAGATGCCAACGAGACCCTTGGCAAATGCAGGGGAAGCATGAAGGGTATATGACTGGGTTGGTGGGGGGTATCACTTGTGAGGTATCACGTTATAACCGACAGTGGGGAATAGTGGGGATATAAATCTAGGCCTAGGGATATTGATTGATATTGATTGTTTTCTGAGTCCATGATTTGTTGTTTTTCCAATGTAAAATTCACCACCTAGCTGGTGAAAATGCTGCGCGATTTTGGTTTCATCATAGCCAGGCTTAGCCGCATTATTCATTAGGTTGGTTGGTGGTTGCGGCCATGTTGATGTTTCTGCTGTGATGCCTGGGAGGAAATCTGGTCGCAAATTGATTTGTGGAGTGGGTTAGGGGCCGTTTTTCCAAGATTATTTAGATGACATCATTTGTTCATTTTGCCAGAGCTCCTTCATCTTGGTCCGTGTGTGGAAAGACTTCGAGAGTGCTGATTTGTCAGATCGTACAACATAACGTGAACCTCCAGAAGCACTTCGGCTCGAGAGTAGGATTCTGCTGCTAACCTGAAACTTGACGACATGTCGGACAGATTCAGGGTCAGTCATATGAGGGAATGCAAAGTGTGGTTTTCTGAAGGTCGGAGTATGTCGGAGTAGTGACTGTCAAGAATTGGTTAATGGGAACTAATCAGGGTCCAGACCAGGTTGGTACCTTCAAGTAGCAGAGCACATCGGTCATGGCTCAAAATCATTTACCAATGGTTTATGATGTCTATGTTGCTTAGTTTATTTACTAAAACCATTGGTTCTACAGCTTCTAGAACCACCATTTGGTCAATTCTTTTTCAGTTCTTTTATTTCTTTTCCAATGTTTATTTTTTCCAGTTGCTTTCCACTGGCACCTCAGTTGGAATCCCAGGCCCGAACGAGACGAGCGAGACGAACGAGACCGGAGTTTGGCGCGCAGAGGGACCGCTGTATCCTTTGCACCACCTCCTCGAGCAACTTGGCGAAACGCCAGTGATGACTGGGGGATGAAACGTGAAAGACCCACATGACCCACATTGTCATATTTTATGAGTAATGTCATGATTATGATAATGTAGATAGTTTTCCTATGATCTTTTCATTTGTTTTCGTTTTTAGTAATGTCATCTGGCAATCAGTCAGATCATGTTTTAGCCCGCGGTTTTCACACTTCCTGAGGGATCCCCAATTTTGCACCAGAGATTGCTCAGGCGAGATCAGACTCGAGGCTCATGGGCCAACCTTGGATGGGTACTTCAAGAGCTGTAAAATGGTGATATCTACTTACCACTTAAGAATCCAAGATATTCTAAGATTAGCTATCCACTTGAGTCTTCAAGAACAGTTGCAGCCAGTGATATCTGGGTCGGAAAAGAGGCTACCCATGG